AAATGGTATAGTATCGTGGCACTTAACGTTACATTTATAGCAACTGTCTTCAACATTTTCTTTCTTTTATTACCTTCTCTTATGAAAAGGCTGACGAGATATTTTAACTCTGACGTACTGTTTAAAATTTTTAGGAGTATGCTTATTGCATAGGTACATGCAATAATTTTTGAAGACACTGTTGACTCAATATATTGGATGAAGTTTTTATAAAACTTAAGCACACAATGAAATTCTTGTGCAATAAAAATTAGTTATAATTTATCATGTGTTTGTGAAAATGTGCAATATTTTTTCTGTAGAAATAAGATGTAATTTATACGCTTCATATAACGTTTATTTTTACCTTTAACTGCAGTGCAATAAAATATATTATATATTGTTATATCTTAATTTAAGTATCGATTGTTATAAACAAATGTACAAATATTTTTATTATATTGATTTTGTATGTAATGACGTTTAATTCATTTTAAAATATTAATTAATTCATGATGGTACTATGCGAGCGAGGGGATTTAGCAAAAAGTTGAATCCACCGACCACGGTCGTCCTAGTAGCGAATTTTAATGATTTTAAATGTTATATTTTTAAGTTACGGCAACATTAAGTCCCAAAAAAAAAATTAATTTAATGGGTACTTTTTTCTGTTAAAATTGCCGCAATTTTTGAAGGTTGCAGATATTGTCATATAATAATCGAGTCGATGAAGGTGCTTTTTATTGCACTTACTAATTCTCAGCAACAGCTTTGATTTTGATCAATTTTTTGTATGCCTATTTTTTAATATTATTCAAACTCCCAATTTCAGGAAATAATTTCTTACATTGTTTAAACAATAATAACTGAATTTACGGGAAAAATTACTTTCAAATTTTTTTTCACAATATTTAGGAAAATATCAACTGATTTTTAAAATGTAGTATCAACAATGTCTCCCGTAGTCGTGGTTAATAGTTATTGATATATTGTATAAACAGTAATAGTGTCATGTATTTAACAATTTATTGTCTAAATAACACTTCTATTATCAATAAGTTAAGAGGTCACCACTATTTAAACACTAGATCACTTCTTCATTTCTTCTTCTTTTTCTATCACCTCGAACTTTCTGAGTCGTACTTCACTCGATCTCGCTATTTATAGAGATCAGCCATTCCAGAATGTTCCAGTATATGCCTTCTGGATATCTGGTCGTCTTTGGCAATACGTATATTGGGTTGCCTACATATATACATGTGACACTGCCTCCCTTCTAAAACTGATCGTCCCAATCAGTGACTTTGCCTCTGTAGGGAGCAAGCCGGTTAAGATGCATGATCTTCATTTTTGAGCGAGATTCAAAATTTAGAGGTCTCTCTGTTTCAACTTCATCTTAAAGATGTTGGGAAGCGCAGAGTGGCTGATGTTGAAACATTACATCTCGGCCAAACCTCCGGGCACCCAGGAGGACTAGAAGAAATTGTAACGACTTACTGGCCCATTTCCGGGCGGCAGCCTCTCGAAAGCAGACAATGTCATACACAAGCCTCTTGGCGTCCCAGCTTTCTGCGAGAGTTCTCCCAGCAAACTTGGACGTCGCAAATGACTAACTCGTCATCCGTCTTGTGCATGGCAAGGTCCGGCTTGCAGAATCTACAGTCGGGATGTCTGACCCGAGGCTCCACACCAACCACTCATCGCCTTCGTCTGGCGTGGCTAGCAAATTTAGATACCACCTGAGATAAAGACTCAATCCTACTATAACCTGCCCGGCAGCCCCGTTCCTCACGAGCATTGAACGGCAGGCCACGTGTAGGGAGGTTGTTCGTACGGAGTTAAACCTCACGAACAAAGTATATGCTTTCTGGAAACCTGGTCTTCTTTGACAATAAGTATGTTGGATTATCTACATACATACATGTAACACCGCCCCCTACTAAAACGATCAGTGACGTCGCCTCTGTAGGGAGCAAGCCAGTCAAGATCTTCACTTTTGCGCGAGGTTCAAAAGTTGGAGGTGGAATTTTTGATGACCTAACACCAGGATATTCAGGTCTTACAGCAGAGGGTAGTCTGAGCCTTTCAATTTCTTCTCTTACTTCTTCTGTTTTTTCTTCTCTCATTTCATCTATCTTCTTTTCCATTATAATTTCCCTTTCCTCTATCATCTTTTCCATATTGATTTCCATATCTTCTATCTTCATTTCCATCTCATTTCTAATAATATTTATCTTATTCTCCACCCTAGTATTTAGTGCTTCTTGTATTGCTTCCATTTTCTGTTTCATTTCTTCCTGAGCTGCTTTCAATTTTCTTTTCATTTCTTCTTAAGCTACTTTCAATTCCTCTTCCGTTTAGTCCTGTCCTTTTTTCATTTGTTCTTGACCTTTTTCCTCTTTTTGTGTCATTTCTGCCATCAGTGCCATTAATGCCTTTATTCGTTCCTCAATTTTCTCTTCGGTACTTCTGGTTATAACTGGCATAAAATATTTCGATTTTTTCTAGAAACTTCGATGGAACGCTTTGTTAACGTCGGATTTATTTTCCTTTCTTTAAGAACTTTCCAATGATATATGGTTTGTTGGGGTAAATCACGATCGATAGAAACTTCCGGAAAGTTAGATGAATTTCTTTTCTGGGTTTCTCGCGGCCGATTGAAGCTTCCAGAAAATTGACCGATTAATGCTCTGGAATATTCAATGGAATTTTTCAAAATTTTTTTATGAAAAATATTTTTTCTGGCATTTTATAAAAAAAGCAAATTGCTTTTATGGCAAAACTAGCACACAGAGTTATAGTAAAACAACGACATAAACAATTAAACGATCAGCATCACCCTCTACATTCAAAATTATTTTCAATCAGCTTTTTATAAAGAAGATTAATAAATTTATTTCTATTCTTGTAATGTGTTTTGTATATTAGTAGCCTAATCCGGCTATTAATTGTTTTTAATTGACAGCAAACTATGCATGTCTAATCTAATATTGTAATATTGGGGAGATTATTTTGTAAGATAAATTTTAGTTGTTTGTTTTGATTTTGTTTTGAAAATGTCTACCTGCTGGAAATGTGATTTACATTTTGACAAAGATGACTTACTTGCTCCTTGTGTTTACTGTTCCGGAAATTTTCCATGCATCAAAACAGAAAAACTGTGCTAATATTAGTGTTTCCGAAATTAAAGTTTTAGAGCTTAAGAAGAAGACTAAAATAATTTTCAAATGTGAAGAGTGTAGTGAAAAGTTGGTGGATTCTCAAGATACAGTTATACTGAAATTACAAGAACCAATTAATTAGCTGTCTAAGATAACTAATGACTATGTTAATTTTAAGAAGGTGAATCTTCCTAATATCAATGATACTATTAATACTTGTGTGGCTGATATTCTTCTTTGAAAGTAAAATTTGCTGAAATGGAAAATTCCTTTCTTCCAAAGATTGATCAGAAGGTTCCCTCTCTCTCTCTCTCACACTCTTCCGTATCCAACTCTAATGATGATGTTGGTATTAATAGCTTAGACTTTAGATCTGCTCTT